AACGTCGGTGGCTCATTTATGAAATTTGTTAAATATATATAAATTCTTTCAAATATTTGTTAAATAAATAAATAAATAAACTGTCTCAATTTTATTAAGGAGCTAGCCCTATTCATTTATTTATAATATTATTTTAATGAGTTAAATACTCCTAGTTCGTTATAGTCTACGTGGACCTTGGATTCAGTAATGAGCTGTAAAAAGACAAAAAAGCAAAAAGACATTTTTTTCTTTATTTTTTGAAATTTGTGAAAATATCTCAATCTGGAAAAATATCCAACTTTTTTGGTTAATTTTAGTAGCGATTAAACTGTACGATATTTCTATATATATATATTTAAACTAATAATAATTAAGGAAATTATTTGATCATGATTCTTGTACACTAACAAAAGGAGCCATTTGTGGTAAGATGCTTAGAAAATTGGTTAATGTCAAATGTGAAAATTATATATTGTATCTTTTTAAATTGAAGATTAAAAAAATTATAATTTAAGTATTTTGAACAGATTTTTCCAATAAAATAGAGTAGGATTAATTCCCATATTTATCTCAATTTAGTTTTTTTTTTTTTAATCCTTTTTCTTTATTTTTCGTTTTATTTTCTTCCATTTTCAAATTTATTTTTTGACTAAGTATTGCGTTTGGCAGTAAACGAAGATCATGTTCTGTAGCTCAATCCAAACTGGGACCATGACCTTGCACTTTTGCCCCCTTTCTCTTCTTCGGTCTATGCTTTCAAAGAAATCCATGAATTAAGCCTTACCCTTTCTTCTTTCTCTTTCCTCCCGATTCTGTTATCCCGCTACCGATTTCTCCTCTTTCACCTCTTTCATTGTTTCTTCTCACTTTGGCCTTCTTGTTCATCCATTTTGGTCTGAAGTTTGAGCTCAATTGGATCGGATTTGAATTCCGGGTAAGTTGTTATTGATAGAAGAAAGAGATTTCAATTTTGTGTGTTGGTTTGTTTGTATTTTGGAGTATGGAAGCTTGTTCTAGGAAATCTTGTGGACTTTGAGCTTGTTCTTGGGGGTTCGCAAATTTCCGAGCCGATTGAATGAAATTAGACCATTTTATAGATTTTATCGACTTGTGAGGCTAGTTTTTAGCTCCTTGAAGTACGTATTTGGTATCGGAAGTCCTGATGAAGTTCGATATTAGTAGAAATACATTTGACTGTAAGCGTTCTTTGGGTTGAATTTGGGAGAAGAAACGATGAAGAGAGGAAAGGATGACGAGAAGACGGTGGAACCTATATTCCCTAGGCTCCATGTTAATGACACTGAGAAAGGTTGGCCAAGAGCGCCTCCAAGGAATAAGATGGCCCTCTATGAACAGTTCACTATACCATCCAAACGTTCGAGTCCCGGGGTTTTGCCTCTCAAGACAAACATCTCCAGAAAACCAGTTACCACACCATCATCAAGCCAGGTTGGAAAACTGACTCTTGCAGCTGAGCTTTTAATCTGATGTGGGATTTGGGGAAGTTCATAGCATGTTCTTGGATTAATCAGTCTAATGCGTTTGATCTTTTGCTTTTTAACTGTGATTATATTGGTTCATCTCTGTTCATTGCTGGAGCAAGTTTATTGTTGGCTAATAGTTATTCCTTTACTTCTCGTTTATTTAATTGTTTTTTTGTGAGATCCCACGTCGGTTGGAGAGGGGAACGAAACATTCCTTATAACGGTGTGGAAACCTCTCCCTAGTTGACGCGTTTTAAAACTTTGAGAGGAAGCCCAAAGAGGACAATATCTATTAGCTGCGAGTTTGGGCTGTTACAAATGGTATCAAACCCCTGAGGGGGTGGATTGTGAGATCTCACATCGCTTGGAGAGGGGAACGAAACATTCCTTATAAGGGTGTGGAAACTTCTCCCCAGTGGATGGGAAGCCCGAAAGGAAAAGCCCAAAGAAGACAATATCTGCTAGCGGTGAGCTTGAGCTGTTACATCTTTCCATTACGGATGAACTTTTTCATTCATAGCCAAAATTTTTGAATTCGACTAATCATTGCAAACGAGTTCAATCGATTTAATTTTATCCCACTACAGACAGACACTACTTATATTAGTGAAAATATGTGTTCACATACAAGGAGCTAGTAGATCCACGAGAGTATGGTCGTTCGGGAAATTGTTCTCTTAACACCCCAATTTAAAATCTTTTCAGGGTGCAGGGACTGATAGAGATCTGCGCCTGCCATTAAACCTGTCTTCACCAACTTCTACTAATGAGGTTGGAAATTCTCAAGCTCTCCCATCTGGTGAAGTAAATGTGAATCCTCCATCGGTTCAGCCTGACCAGAGTCAGCAGACAACAGAAGTAGAAGATGAAGACGATTTCACGGTTCCAGTATACGACCAATCCCGGATGGGCAAAAGTAGAGTTAAAAATAGCAACCTCAAGGAAAAGTTGTCTTCTCCTGGATCAAAACATTCTGGTTCTACAGTTTTGCAAGCTGATTATGAAAATGGTCAAAGTCGTCTTACATCTTCTAATGTAGTTGAGCCTACAAGAATTGGGGAGCTAGACAATGTTCCGCGCTCGAGAGTGGACTCCCATTCTTTGGGAAAGAATGACAGCTTGAACATTCCTGTTGACAATATTGAGAACCATGTAGAAAGGACTTATAATTCCATGCAGGTGGGGAATGCGGACAAAAGCGACATTGTCTCCGAGAATTCAATGGTTGACTCAATTTCTGGCTCTGATATCTGTCCAGATGATGATGTAGGAATAATAGGTCAAAAACATTTCTGGAAAGCAAGAAGAGCAATTATTAAGTAAGTTTCCTGATGCATCTGAAGTGCCATGCTTCTTACATAAATGATATGAAGGTTGTATGTTATCTGAATCCGTGGCAACATTAAATTTAAAAATTTAGATGATATGCATTTCAATTCCTTTTCATTGAACTATTTCATTTCTGTCTAATCCCTTGTGATTTTTTGCGCTCACATCATTCTTTCATTTAATTGTGTGTTCAAGTACCAAAGTTCGAAATATAGAAGTAGATATGTTTGAATGACGAGTCAGTAGATAAGGTAAGAACTCGTAATCTCAGGTACCCTTTTAAGTGAATCTTTGTGGCCCTCAATAATATTTTGACATGGATACTGGATCATCTTATAGCAGGAACTATGCAATGTGCACAGTAACTTCCGAGACAACTGGATTCTGCTTCGTGTAAATATATGAATGTCTTGGTTGGGTACCGCTCGGTCTCCTTTTTAAAGTAATCACTTCGAAATTTTCCTTAGAGAGTTCGATGGCTCTCGGGGGCTGAGAGCAGAATTGGAGCATATGTAGGATTCCAGGTGTATTTGTTGGAGGATATTTTGACAGTACAGAACTTATTTAGAATTAGAATCAGTTTTATGGATGAAAGTAGTGTTCTTATTTAGATTTAGAATCACCTAAGAAGAGTATGTTTGCTAGCTTTTCTTGTTCCGTGAAGAAAGATTTACGAGTTTATTCTGTTTTAATGCTATAAATTGATTGTTGTTATTATCTTCAACACATGTCGCGGTTTGATTTCACTCGTGATGTTGTTTGATTTATTCTTTTGACTTTTATTATTTTGCAGTCAACAGAGAGTGTTCGAGGTCCAAGTGTTCGAGTTGCATAGACTTGTCAAGGTAAAGTGATCTAATTTCTTCAAATAGCAGCCTTTGTGCCCCCAGGTTCACATTATTGGATTCACTTCTCTCTTAACTGATCTATCGTGCAAACAGGTTCAACGGTTAATTGCTGGATCGCCTCGTCTGATACTTGAAGATGGTATCTTTCTGGATAATTCTTCTCCAACCCCTCTTCCTGCAAAGAAACTTACCTTACATTACACCGTCAAATCACACGTGCAACCTAAGCTCAGTGATGGCCCCAAGAAGTCAAAATACAATGTTGAATGTTCAGCAGAAAATGCTGTTGGAAAGACATCTCTTCCTCCTGCGCCAATTGAGTGTCAGCCTTCAACCTGTGGGCCTTACTCAGTAAACCCGCAACCTGGACCAGGATTTACAGGTCATCACTGGTTGGTCCCTGTAATGTCTCCTTCTGAAGGACTCATATATAAGCCTTACCCTGGACCAGGATTTGTTTTTGGAGGATGTGGACCTTATGGTCCAATGATGAATCCATCCTTTGGATTTCCAGCTTCTGTTCATCAAGGAATTGGAGCTCTTCCTAACACTCCCATGGTTGTTGGTACTTACTTCCCTCCTTTTGGCATGCCAGTCATGAACTGGGGCATGTCAGGTTCGGCTGTCGATCAAGTTAACCGGTCCACAGGAGATCTAAATCAATTATCGGGAGGCGTGGCTGCTTCCAATATGCAGCATCAGACTTCATATGATGTTTCAACACAGAGAGATAGAGATGAAAATCAAGAAACTGTTTCATTAACTCCAAAGTCTCATGCACCCAAAAGGAATGAGGTACAAGTAAGTACTGCAAGTAGTCCTGTAACTAGTCCTGCTAGCGAAGTGCAAGCCAATCAAACCGCTGAAAGCCACGATGTGCTTCCACTCGCCCCTGTAGTTCCGCTGCTTGTAGAAAAAGGTCCTCAACCTTCAGACTCCGATCAAACGCGCGTGATTCGAGTTGTGCCACACAATCGAAGATCCGCAAACGAATCAGCTGCACGAATTTTCCAATCGATTCAAAACGAGAGACAACAGTATGACTCAATTTAGCTAAGTTCATTCTCCCCTTTCTTTCTCCATGCCTCAATTATCTTTGAATTGTCCCATTATGTTGTTTATTAGTTTATTTTACACGCTGCTTTTCGGGTATAATGTTTTGTTTACCTCCCGCACCCCCCGTTCCCCGACCTCAGGACAGGTTATTCATATGTAAATACATTTCTGGAGATTTACATGTCAATGCAATGGAAATGTGAGTGAGGTACCGTGCGCTATACACTTTTGGCATCTGATTATTGCTCTTTTAATGAAATAGCCCTCATCTGTCTCAGTAACTTGTATGCTTATAGGAGAATTTTAAACAAGAGAAATAGCTTTCTTTTTGATAGTTCTATGTTATTCATTACATGAAGGAACCTAATGACAGCAAAAGAGGTAATCATCTCAATTTTGTTAGTCTCTTAGGGGCACCTTGGATTTTTACCAGGTCCTCCATAGTATAGTTCAGGATCATCTAAATAATCTCGGATGAAATCGACATCATAACAATCGTATTCATCGGAGTAGTGCTCAACCCAACCAGGAAACATCAAAACCATGGAATTATCTCGAACTCGCATCCGTTTTACCCAACCCGAAGTACCAGAAATGAAGTCAGGAAACCTTCCACTGCCCATAGCTGTTCTAGTGTGAGGAGGCCGTCCTATGTTTGTGCTGTAAACTTCCCCTCCCCATTGTACTGTTTCTGCTGTGTGACTTAGTGCACTGAATAGCTCAGGAGGCCAATAACCTATGTTAATGCTTTCCCCATATTGCACCCACCAATTATCTGTCTTGAAATCCTGAAGGAAAGATGAAGAATCAAGATAGAAAGGAAGCATGAATTGGCTTTGGAAAGCAAACTGCATCATGTCTTACTCTAAAAAGGAACATAATTATTTCATATGGAAGCCCATTGGGAGTTGAGATTGGATAAATAGCTGAACCAAGAGCAATTTCATTGCTTGTTTGAACAAAACCTGGGCAAGTGAGATCAAAGCAGCCTGTTTTTTCGGAAGCATCGGCCTAATAATAATACCAAAAGAAAACAATTCACAGTTCGTTCTGTTTTGAGATATCAACTTTCTATCTGATATAGCCAGTTGCCTGCATGAACTTACAGTCCAATACACGAACAGTCGAGTCTGTCGATCCCCGTAAACACCTGGATTTACCTGGAGGGTTGAAGAAATCACGATGTAAACGAGTTAAAATCTGTGGAAATTCAGATGAGAGTTAACTAAGTTGAGCTCTTTGGTGAAAAGTTATGCTTACTGCCCATCCGGATTCGATAGCCTCAAAATTATAGTAAGGGCCGGTTAATAGAGCGACTTGGGAAGTACTATATTCATCATCGAACTCGACCCTTGGGTTACATACTTTAATGTCTCCTTTAGCTGCATTGTAGTTGTTTCCTGCAGTAAGCAGAAATGCCTTCTGTTTTGCACCATTGTTAAGTAGATGGTTAGAGTAAGAAAAACATGGAATTTAAAGGGACAAGAAATGTTTGTCGATCGAACCGAACGATTCGTTAGCAGAGTATGCGAACTTCGGGTGATGGGAAGCTGAGCGTTTTCTTGGGAAAACATCGGTTTCTTTCGTCCATAGCGTTCTATCGATTTAGCTTTGAGTAGGACATGCTTTCGGATCCTTCGAATCGGTATTGTTCCTTCAGGGCAACTGCCACTTTTCCTCCATGTTTGTTTCACAACCATGGAATTCTTTTCCTCCTTCCCTTCCCTTTCTGCTGTTGCTTTCTTTGAATGCTCATCTATGGTGGGATCATAAGTGGGTGCCAACTGAATGGTGTGATTCCTCAGAGCAGGATGATCAAAAGCAGGCTGATCGTAAATGCTTACACAATCTATGATGTCGCCATCTTCGCTCTACAAGCACCAGAAAGAAAAGTGCAGCTAAAGAGGCATAGAGCCAATAGAAAAACATACATCGTTCTGCAATGAAAGTTAAACATTGATACCGAAGCCTATCACTAGCAAATATTGTCCTTTTAAAGCTAAAATATGCAAAGATTTTGCAAGTTCGAGCTCTTTACAAACTATTTTCATGTTTAAAACAGATTGAAGGACTAAGAAGAAGAACAAGAACAAGAACACAGATTCGTACCCGAATGCTTTTTATTGCTTGCTTCCTAAGAGAGTTCATTCTCATACTCTTCTGTTTAGAAAGCGAACCACCCTCCACAGCTCCACAAACTATGACTGTCAATGTCACAATCAACATTCCGAGCAAGAATCGCTTCCCCATGAAAAACTCTCGATGAAGCTCGGGTTGCTCGACGCCTTAAAACCACAAACCAACGACTAAAAACTGTGCTTGTTGAATGTCTAAGAAATCATTCAAACATAACATGATTGAATGATTGGAGAGGGAGTTTGGAAATCCTATATAGCAGTGTGGGTATGTTTTTAGCATGGAATCTCTGCCTAAATTACAAAATTTGCATGACTTAACTTCTGCTCATCCATTTCCCATTTAGATTTTCCATTTCTGAAATGGGATCCATAAGGGCTCTCTCATATGCTTTTCAAATGAACTTAAATGGTTAAGACTTCAATGAGCAGCCAACGTCTTCTTTTCCCAAATAAAGTGTCAAAGGATGTTTATGAAATGGACAATGAATCTGAGAATACTAATCCCAAGTTATAAGCAATCACATGCTTTGTTTGCTACCTAATTCAAATTTTTTTCAAATTTTAAGAAAGAATAAGTATTTTGGCCCGTAATTGATGAGGATTGAACGCCAAACTTTTAAAGATGGTAATTAGAGTATTATTCTTGAAATTATTTTATTACACTAAATATATATTTTTCTAATGTTAGTTCTGGGATTCTGTTTTGTTATCAAAAAGAGAGTTTGGGTAGAGCAAACTCCCTCATTGGATGAGGACGAGCACGAAGCTTAATCAAGTAGAACCAAGTTGCGCTGTTGGATGTTCTGATCGAAAAAAATAATTAATGGGGTCATGCCGTTATAACTGAATATGCGTTAGAAAGGTCAATCCCTCCCCTATACGATGTTAAAGGACAAGGATAATCATTACAGACATGAAAGAGGTGGTGGCGATCATTCTAAGAACAAAAAAAGAATGAGCTGGAGTTTTAGTAAATGAGTTTAATTTTTAAAAATAATAAACAAAACTCTATTACCAAATAATTTTGCAATACCATTTTTGGAAAGGAAATTATTTATTGAAAATAAGATGTAATTTCATTTATTAAAGTGTGTTGAAAATGAAAGGATAACAATTGGGTTTGACTAAGGATCAAAATGAAAGAGAAAAAGCTAAAATAACCCTAACAAGGCCAAGATCACTAAGATGACTAAGGACTAAAATAAATATTTTTAAATTGCAAGTAAAATAAAGAACTTACAGAACTGAAATAGTTTATTTGGAAGTTCAACCCTGGCGTCATTCTGCGCGCCCTTTCCAAAAGCCGCCATGGCCGCGTGGTGCTTGGGAGGCACGGCAGCTCCTTGTAGAGCAAGCAAATGGACCAACAGCATGCCATCTGCTCCTTCTTCATCTTCACACTATAAATGTTTCAATATTATTAATTATCAATTTCCACAGAAACACCACGAATACATTACAGGATCATCTCGATTAGGGCAAAATTTCGAAATGAGATTCTTCTCTCGAATGTTCCGCTGTTGCTTCTCCTCATCCCAAGTCTCCGCCGTCGGGAAGGAGATTCCGGTGAAGAATCCAAAACCGGAGAAGAAATCGGCGGTGGAGTGTAAGGGAGCTCCGATCGACGGTTCCTATCATTCTCACTTGTACTGGCGATGAGGATGGCGATTCCATCAATTGTGTTTCCTTTTACTTATTGATTGATAAGTTAATTTAATTAGTTAAATAATATATCATCTGAAAGGGAAAAAAAAAAAAATCAGAAAAAAAATCTGTAATGTAAGGTTGATTCCTAGACAGGAAGGAAGTTTCTGGAACGATATTCAAAAACCACACAAATCAACTAGCCAATCACTCTCGCCTGTCATTTCTTAACCACACAGCTGTCTCTCTATATCCTGGGCCCCACAATTCCTAACTATATTTGTCCATTATTGACCTTCACAGTTCACAGCCTTCGTTTTGTGGGCCCCACCCATCATTTTCCTTTTTTTTTTATTTTTTTTATTAACACATTTTCGCTGTTTCAGTGGCTTTCCGTTTTTTTTTTCCTCATTAATTTCGTCTTTTTCGCCTTTTGGCGTATCTTCACGCTCCAATCCACGCCGTCCGATTGTTTTGTATATACCACGCGCCATCAATTTTGAACCCCCATGCCGAAGAATCTTCCACTTTTGCAACGGACCGGAGAATGTTAGAATGAAACGACACCGTTGTTTAATTTGAAAGAGTGAAATTTTAAATCCTATTATTCGTATATTAATTAAATTTTAGGTTAAGATTAAACTAAATAACCACTATTTTTAATTACAACTTTAAAATGTTTCAATTTTTTTATATATTTACCATTTTTAGTATAACTATTTTAAGATGGCTATTAATTCTAATAAAAATAATAAATAATTTGCTCCAATTGTGGAACTTCAAACTGGAATAAACCATAAATAGAATAAATCTCAAAAGTTTAACCCAAAAAGAAAAAAAAAAAAGAAATTTAAAACAAAAAATTACTTTTTATTTAAACGTTGTGCGGTGGAAAGACGCATATATTCCCGTTGATGATTTGAGGGAAATAGGGGACCACGCCAAAATATTAGCTGGCATTCAACCAATCGCCAGCTTGCTTGCCCCCTGCCCGAATACCTGCCCGACTTTCTCTCGCTCCTATTTTTCGCTCTCTTTCTCTCTATATATATCTCCTTCCACTATTTTCATTTCTCAATTGCAATTCAAAGCTAAGGGTCTTCTCTCAATCTCTTTCGATCCCTCTCGTCGTCTCCTTCCTCTCGCCGGAACCACCCTAACAGGCAAATATCTGAATCAATGGCCGGCGTTTCCCAAGCTTCTCTCGTTGCTCTCATTGCCATCGTCTTCGCCGTCGCCTCCGTTGCTGCTACTGAGGCTCCCGCCCCCAGCCCTGCCTCCCCTGCTACCTCCATTGCTCCGTCGTTCGTCTCCGCTTGCGTCGCTGCCTTCGTTGCTCTCGCCTTCGGATCTACTCTCAGGATCTGAAGTATCGGCCTCGAGATATGGTGATTTATTTTGCCATGATTCGTTGTATTTGTGCTCTGATTTTCTCTTGAAGTAACCTTGGGGTGGGCGAATTTGTTTTAGACGTTTTCGAAGGGATTTTAATATTCAACACGTTTGGTACAGAGGACCTCTTTTGTTTACACATTCTTATATATAGAATGCAGACTGTGTTGGTTTGATGACGTTTGTCCTATATTTTGTCGTTATGATTAGTAAATAAATTGTTTCGTTCTTTTAGATCTCCTCCGCCTAGTCTCTTCTCTCGTCTTTCCGTCATTGTTATGTAAACTCGCCGATTATCGATCCAGACATCGAACTGCAACAGTAGAACCTTGAGATCATTCTTCATGATCTTCCGTTCTATTACCGATAATTTTTCATGCTTAACCAAAAACAACCTGCTAGTTTCACGAGAACTGATCTCTTCTGCAATTGTCTTTCAAATTTAAGAAAGGCATCCAGAACTGCGATGGAAAAATTCCAAATATTCAATTCTACGATTCAAAGATATGTAGGCATTCATTTATGAAATTTGGACCAATACAAGTCCAATTGTCTGAGTCTGGTGTGGCTGTAGTGGAAGTAGAATATGTGGGGCAGTGAGGCATGTGATGTGAATAATGAGCCGAAAGTGAAAGGTTCCAATATATTTTGTTGTGGTTGGCAATTACAGCTATAGAATTAATGCACAGAACATGCTTGCCTTTTATGCCTTTTCTTCTCTAAGAAGGAAATCCAAAGCATTTAGACAATTAAATAAATGGCATATTATATTGGTTGATGGATTTGTTCTGTCCACTACACTAAAGTCTTGGTGTAATCTTTCTTATTCTAAGTCAAAGTTGGATTCGTTTTGAGTTTCTTTTGTTATTCTGTTATCTTTTTATATCATAACAAAAAATTCAACCCTTAAACTCTTGTGCAGATGAAAGAAGGTAACTCGTCGCATCTGCAGAAAGATTATGAAATTTGTTCCTTTTTTTCTTTCCATTCTTTTCCTCTTTCGAGAAAGAGTTGTCATCTCTCCGAAGTATATATATATTATATAGCCATTTGATATAAAGGCTGCACACTGCACAGAAAAACGAACGGCGGGCGTCAATTGCCGCAATGAAACTGCCAAAAAGATGTTGCTGCTTTATCTTTTTTACTTTTTTTTTCGCAGTTCACTCAATTGTCCGACGTCATAAATTCCTCTTCTTTTAATTTTTTCTTATTCTCTTTCCAATAAAATTAGTCATTTAATTATATATATATATATATATATATATATATATATAAAGAAGCATGTATTTCAGAAATAGAAAATAAAAAAAAAAAGGTAAAATTAGGCAAGAGAAGTCTAATATTCATATATTATATATTTTAATATATGATATAATTCACATAAACTTCCCATCTTCTCCACGAATCATTTGACAAAACACCGTTGATTCTGTTCATATGATAAACTCTCCCTTTCTCACTCCGAATCCGACTCCATGTTCACTATTGCCTTCAGCCCTCTTGGTCTCTGCATCCAAACAAGATAACTTCTTAATTTTTTTTAATTGACAAATCAATATATAATTTTTTTGAATGAATTAAAAAAATTAAGAATTAAGAATAGATATTATACCTTTTTAGAAATCTTCTTCTCCCTAACTTCGTATCTCTCTAGCGTTAGATCACACAGCCACGTCCCTGGGCTCACCAGCTGCCACCCCCAACCAAACACACAAATTAAATAAATCCCAAAAAAACCAAACAACTTTTTATTATATTATTTTTATTTTAAAAAAGGTGTTATACACAACTACCCTTGTATTTTATCATTATTACACAGAAAAAACCAAGCACTTCCTATTCCACGCCACGACAGGACAACTCATCTCAGGCCCCCTTCATTGTCGGTAAGTAATTGATTAGCCCATTCATTCACTCACATTGTGGCTTCAATTTCGGCAATAACAGTCAAATCACAACTCTCCACGTGGCATTCCACAAACCCCACTCTCAACCTCCCCAAATATCCTCACCCCACTTATTTTTTTAATTAAAAGAATTTATAATTTAATCTCAATTATTTATTTATTGCTGTCGATAAATAATTGCGAGGAAATATATATATATTTTGTAAATTAGGGATTTTGCGAGGGAAAATCAGGTTAAAGAGAGAGGAAATAATTAAAGCAGACGCAATAATAATAATAGCGCATGAGAATTAGTTTTCAAGGAAAAAAAAGAAAAAGAAATAATTAATGGAAAAGGAACAGTAAAAAAGGTGAGAAAGAATCTGGAAAAGGAAAGAAGGGAGAAGATTGGTTTGCTTACATTGATGGTGCGTTGAATAAGTTTGGCTCGTTTTTTGGGTCTCTGAGGCAGTTTTGACCCTTTGATCGCCATGAAATCTTCTTCCTTCTCCTTGTTCGTTAGAGCTATTACGAACTTCGGCGGCCACGCCGGCTGCCCTTGCGACGGTGGCGCTAGGGCTTCTCCGCTGCCGGAAGACGACCCACCCCTTTTGGTGTCTGATGTAGCGGCGGATTTATGGTGGGGGTGGTGGTTGTCGTGATTAGACGGCGGTCTCTTTTCCGGCGCCACCCTATCCGGTGAAGTGATTGCTCTGACACCGCCGTTGGATTGCCCTTTCATCACAGCGGAAATCTCAGAGTTCCTAATCAAATTCAAATCCACCGGAAAAAAAGGAAAGAAAATACTCAGTCTCCTAACTACTTAGTATCCCCAAAAAGTAAGTAAAAAAAATAAAAATCTAATAATAAAAAAATTAATAAAAGAGTCCAACCCCACATACACTCAGATTACAACACAAAACCCCAAAAACAAATCTCATAAAGATCGAAGGGATAACACATTAAAGAAAAAAATAGCAATTGATTATTTACGTTTTTAGGCTGAAATTACGGGAATGTCCTCGGCCTAGCATTAGCGTACAAAATGGGAGAGTCGGAGACTTCGTCTCTCTTCTTCAATGGCCTATTTTTTAAGGACAAAACTGTCTTTTCAAACCGCAACTCCCCTGCCCCCCTCCCCCCTCTCAGCCGTTGGATCTACAATTTTCGAGAATACGCATCCACTCAACGACAGCCGATGTGGGACACTCCGATCTATAATCCGACGGCTATTATTCCACAGCTAAAACGACACGAGAAAGAAACTGCGGACGTGTCCTAATCAACGGGAGCAAATTGCGTTCCATGAAGTTAAGATCATCATCAAACGCCAAACCCAAGTTGCAATTATACCCAAAAAAAGATAATAATAAAAAAATAAAATATCTTCTCTCAATAATTTTTACTTAGTCTCGTCTAGTAATTATTAAAATTATAAATTTAGATATCAAATTTTAAATTTCTTCAATCTTATCGATCCAATTCTAAATTGAACCATATTTTGAAAATCTTTTAAACTTCCGACTTTTTTATTTAACAAAAAAAAAAATTAAGAACAAAAAAAAAAGAAAAAAGCAGACACTCAGTGGGTAGAAAGCCATGTAATATAAAAGCCCAAATCAAAGGCCCAACGTTAAAATTACATGGGACTTTGAATCCCATGGCCGGGAAGATAGGCTGAGATCTAAGCGATCAAACAGATCAAAATAAAAGAAAAAAGAAAAAAAAAAAAGAAGAAACAGGATTGGTATTGAAGAAGAGAGAGAGAGAGAGACGAGGAAGAATTAACGAGCAGTACCTAAGAATACGCTGAGAAGGAGCAGGCGGCGGCGGCGGCGGCGGTAGAGCTGGCGGTTGAGGAGAAATCGGCCGT